TCATGCGTTTTTGCAGTGTTTCGTGCTGTAATAAGATCACTCGAAATTCCGCTAGCTAGGAACCTGTGATATACTGGCCCTCGAATTCCGGTAAGTTAATTGTCCACGCTATACATGGACAGTGAACAGTGCCTTGAAATCCCAGGTTCCCAGCTTTCACAGTTCCCGAGTTACCCAAATTCCAGTCAGAAAATTTCACGTGGCCGCACGTGGCAACCACATGAAATGGGGGCTGAATTTGATAAATTTAAGTTGTAGATAACATTTCCTGAAAGTTTCAGCCTCCCAGCTTCCCCTTGGTTCCGAGTTGGCCATTTTTCCGCCAAAAATTTTCACGGGACCATACGTGGCAACCACGCACAACGGGAGACGGAATTTGGTAAATTTAAATTGTAGATGAATTGGGAACATTCGCTGAAAGTTTCAGCCCTCAGCTTTCTTGGTTCCCGAGTTAGCGATTTTTGCACCAGAAACTCTCACAAGGCCGAACGCGAGAAACGCACACACCTAGAGGCTGAATTTAAAATTTTTGAGTTCATATGTGCATGTGGAACATAATCTCAGAATTTTAGCTTTCCAGCCTTTCTGGTTCCCAAGTTAGCAATTTTCCCGCCGAAAATTTGAGGCGCTCGTACGCGAGGTCTAGACGTGCGTGAGGATTGGTACCGCGGTCCCGGGGTGGCACTTGACCGAGGAACCCACCCAAAAATCTGACACCAAAGCTTGCTTGGGTGCCGAGTTTTGAAATACCCGGACAGACAGACAGACACACACACACACATACACACACACGTACACACATACACGCACATACACGCGTATACCGGGATCGTCGCAATATGCGTTTTCGCATTTGCATATATGCAACCCAGGCTGGAACGCACGAGGCTCTCCGGTGCGATCATGCGTTTTTGCACTAAACTCGCAGGTCGCTATTAGCAAGAATGACCCCTACGCTGTAGCCTAACATTTGGGCTCATATTGGTCGTGTTTTGGCTCCTTCCGACATGTAGGAGGAAGGGCGTCAGTTTTGGTGAAGGTGATGCATTAAAGAATCGCACGAATATCCAGGTGCATGATTACCGATTTATTGCATGAAGTCCGATCGTTTTTTCGGTAAATGCTCGCTTTACGAAAAAATGACAAATGCAGATTTCCAGTTCACAAAAAACTGGATGTATTGCTCGAGCGGTCGTCTGTCAAAAAATCCACGTCCATTTGCATATACGATTGGGGTTAAGGTCCGAACTGCGAATGATTTTTTTGAAAATATGCAAGTTTTCAGTTTATTAAAAATTGAAAATATTGCTCGAACGGTCGTTTTTCAAAAAATCCATGTTCATTTGCAC